CAGTCAATCTCTTTTTCGGCCTTTTTCTTTATCTGTTTTTCTTGCTGGAGTAAATAACAAAACTGTACTTCAATCGGTTTCCAACTGAGCAACAGAGGACTGGGAGCTGATAATGGGATGGGACAATCTTGATGAAACGAAGTCTGGCCAATGTATGCTGTTAAGTGCTGACAGGGGAAAAGTGCGCAGATGCCTTTKTKTTTTTTTTTTKYGTGTKTTTTTTGCGCAAATGCCTGTTGTGAACGAAAATGCAGGTCTGCTTCGGGTGGTGGTTCACTTCCAACCAAGGAAAGGGCCACCACTTTCCAGTGCGACGAGACTGAACATGGATGACCGTTAATAACAGACTTCGAATTCCTGCGAAGCGTGAATCTGGTGATTGTGGTACAAACGCGAAGGAGACAAGTAGTCATTCTTGTCTTTGCTCTGCGAAAAGCAATCTCTCTACAGACACTCGTTTAAAATGTAGGGATAATTGGATACGTACCCTACTTAAAGACGGGAATATCCGGTCAACCGGGTCCCTGGCCCCAACTTGCACCTATACCCAAAAACTGCGGCTGGAAATTATATGTATGCCCAGGACTGGGGTGGGCCCAGGTTGGGACCGTAATATTGTAGTAATAACCAACCTGCAGTAACCCTGTTCAGAAGTAGCCTGGGGCCCAGAACTCAGCCCCAGGCAACACAGACCTGAGTTGGTCTGTGCTGGGATGTGTGAACAAGACACACCCAGGCCTGAGTCTGCCACGTTTGGCTGTGTGACYCAACACTGCACACCAGAAATTCAAGGGTCAAAGTCAACTGTAGAGTCAAAGGTACCACACCCAGGCCCTTGGTTGGATACACTCACTTGTTGTGCGCAGGTATCCAGACAAGCATCCAGGCTGGAGGGAATTCGGTTTTAGACCAATCTGGACCTTAGTTTGCATCGAGATCTGGGCAGCTGCGGGTTGTAGCACCCGGGGCCCAGACCCCGCATCAACGCTACATAAGCGCTGACTTTCCTGGCTTGTACATTTGTTCTGTCTTACGTTGATGCTGACTTCACGCGTTGACGTCGACTCTGGCTCGACGCTGCGAAGCTGGTTGAGCGCTGGCTTTGTGCTGGCATTGTGTCTAGGGCGATGCGCTGCAGGTCCCGCATGGTGGCTGGCTTGCACCTGTCTTCTTGGCATACTGATGTGGCAGCTGCCATGCGCTGTTGCTGACATGGCTGCTGCCATGTGTACTACTGTTGGCTGATGTGGATGCTGCCACGTGTACTACTATTTTGAGGATGCGAAGCTATGTGACTTGTGTTGCTGTTCTGATTATCGTCATTCAGGAGGAGATCAAGACTGTGGAGAGATCGTGGATACTTACCTGGTTGTCTTCATGTCGACATTGCTCCAGCACTGATGAGGGACTGATTAGACGTGACAGGTGGCACATTGAGGTTACTCGTTCAGATTATTGATTATTGAGGTGGTGATTGCGGAGGGAGCCCGAAGAAGCAGTGGGCATTGTTTCTACCCTCCCCCAAGTCTTTCCTCCCTCTCATCTACCTCGTCTGTGTATGTCTTCTCTTCTCTTGGGTATCTGAACACAAATACGATTATTGATAATCATCAGCTGGTTGACACTCATCTGGACTTGCATTGTTGATAACTGTCTTCACAATCTGGGTTCATTGCAAACCAAAAGAATGCAAAAATTATGGACAAAACAAGGAAAAATTATGGGCATACCAGGGACTCAGGTGGACCGGACAGGTGGACCTACTACTGGATGGCTGAAATTATGCTCATGCCCAGCAGCCGCTGGGCCAAAACGGTCCACGTGGTGGGCATGAGCATAATTTTGTGGTCACTGTTCTGCCATCCAAGGCCCGCCCCTGGCTGTGGGTAAGACTGCAATATTGCCAGTCCGTTTCTAGGCATGGGCATAATTTTGTTGCCTGGTACTCAGGGCCTGGGGGACTGGGTAGTACTACATGTTTGCACACGTGAAAAGTGGGGTATTATGCAAAGTTGAACGGGGTCCGGGTATAGATGTAAGTTGGGCGCTGCCACTGGGTATGCTAGTTAGGTCCTGGGACTGGGTATAGCGGGTATTCCCATCTTTCAGTGGGGCACAGATGCAATTTTCCCTAAAAAGAATTCTCTCTCTCTCTCTCTTCCCTCCCCCCCTCCCCCCCACTCTCTTCCTTTCTTTCTGTCCTTTTCGTTCTTTCTTTCTTTCTTTCTTTCTTTCTTTACAAACCTCCTCAGACCTGATACTTGCCGAGGAAACCTGTGTGTTCCTCTCTCTCTCTCTTCACCTACGAGAAGCGAAACGTCAGAGCTGGTTCAGGGTTGAATATCAGGGCCATACTTCGAAGCCGGACCAAGGCAACGAGTAGACTGTGTTGCATCGTCCCGTTTACAGTCGTTTTACCCTAAAGTATGAACGGGTCTCATTTTCTATCATAGTATAAAGTTGGATCAACTTGGATATTGGTCACACACACCGGACCCAGGGCTGGACAGGCGATCTGCCACCCAAACCATGGGGAAAGACAACACCGAACATCTATGTTACATGCTGCGCCTGCACACCAGGGCCATTTTCCAGGCCATGCGTCCGTCAGGCTGAAAGCCTGAAATTCAGGCTGAAAACCAGGGCCCACAGGCCCCGTGACTGCTCAGCCCGAAAGCCTGAAAACAGGGGCCTACAGTCCCTGTGTCGTTTCAGACTAAAAATGGCAACGCCCGCAACGGCCTTTTTAGCCTGAAACGAAGGGCCATTTTCGGTCGTTCATCAGAATGACCGGCCCTGAAACTCAGGCACCGAACCAGGGTTTCGGGGACAGGCTATTCTTAGCCTGTTCCCCACGCCAGCCTCAGCAGCTGCTGCAGCGCCAGCCCCTGGCACACTTCGGCATTGGCAAGAGCAGCCTCCTCAGCCTGGCTCACCCTTCAGGCAGTTAGTAGGCAGGCCGAGGTAGTAGGCAGGAGGCAATAGTAGTCTTCAGGATTCGGCGGCAGCACTCTGGAGGGAGAGCTGCAGGGTAGTAGTAGCGTTAGCCTTTAGTCTTCAGCGCTGGGCGCTATAGCTAGGATAGCACTAGAGAGAGACAGAGATTGGGCGGAGGCCAGAGGTACTTACCTGCAGCGACGTTGATCCCGCTTTGTCTTCGAGGTACCTGCAGCACAGCGCCAACATCACAGGTTAGTATCGGGCTCGTAACAGAGACAGAGAGAGAAAGAGCTTGGTGACTTCTTCTTCTTCTTCTTCCTCTTCTCAGTCCACCATCTCCTTCTCCCCCTCTCTTTATCTGACTTCACTGCATCTGCAGACTACAAGAGAAGAGAGAAAGAGCTTGGTGACATCGGATCCAGACTCGACTTTTGGACTTCAGACATTGCAAAGAGGGATTATTTGGGACTTGTGACAAAGACTTTCACGGCGTCCGGATCATTGTACCGCGGTCTACTTAACCTTCGAGATCGACGATGACCTGCGGAACAGCTTCGTCCGCGGCTACCAAGCCGACCTCGAGTTTCGCGGCAAGTACGCGAATTGCTCCTCTCCTAATCCGGCGCCTTCTCACTACCGGATCCAAGAGGGGTACTTGCTTGTCCACACGCGGGGAAAGGACCTTCTTTGTGTACCGAGTGATCCTCACTTGTGTACACGGCTTCTTGGCGAGTTCCACGATGCTCCCGCCACCTGACACTTCGGAGTCAATCACACGATTGGCCGACTTCGCGAGCGATTTTGGTGGGCCTGTAGCGGACCCACCACGTGTGGTGCTCCGCTAATGACAGAGATGGAGATGGAGGAAGAAGGGGGAGCAAGATGGCACAACATAGCTCCCCACGCAAGACTCCAACGCACGTACTCCAAAATGTGCAAGTGAGGAATGAGACTGAAAACAGACAATGGCTGGGGTATATCCCACCAGACAGACGGGACTGGACTGGACTGGCTGGTACCGACAGAGGTACCGGCCTGGACTGGCCTACCCCAAATATAACACACGCGTGTGAGAACAGGCCAAGGGGCTGGTCTCACGGGCCAGCCCGAGGTCCGCTACACGATCCTCGGCCTGTAATGGATCGCCTAGATACAAACATGCTTCCACCAAGAAGCGGAACTATACCAAAGAAAAGAAAACCTGAGTAGTCTAGGATGCGGAGCAAGCTCCATGCTGAGTCCATGCGATGCAACCTAGGATATAAAATGTCACAAAACA